TGGCATACGGGCTGTGGGGGCTGGCTGGCTGGCTGGCTGGCTGGCGGCGGGCTGGCGGGCTGGCGTGCGTGCGGCCGGGCGATGGGCATGGCGGCGGCAGCAGCGGCGGCGGCGGCAGCGGCGGCGGCGGCAGCGGCGGCGGCGGCGGCAGGCAGTGTAGGCGGCGCAGGCGTGGGCTGGGCAGGGGCAGCAGCAACAGGGGCGGCAACGACTTCAGCTGAGGGCGGCGGGAGGGGAGCCGCTCGCCACCAGCGAGAGGTCGCAGCCCGCCCCACCTGGCGCGCTGGGGGCTCCTCCGCGCGCTGCTGGCGCAGCTCATGGAGGTATTGTAGCTCCCCAGGTGAGCGCCAGAGGTCAATGCTGACCTCTGGTGCTGCCCACGAAAGGCGGCGGCGGGCACCCATCAGGGCGCCGCACAGGGCAGGAGTCAGTCGCAGGTGGCATTCGCTGCGCCCGTCCCCACGCACCCGAATCTCAACGCAGGTCACAGGCACACAGTCAGGCACTGGCAGGTGAAGGCTGGCCCGGCAAAACAAAACGAAGGCTGCGACTGCGGCCCCCAGGCCCCCACCGGCCTCCAGAGCGAGCCCCTTGACCACGATATGGGGGAAATCGGGCCGCAGGGATGCCCGGGAGGCCGGGTTGCTGATCGGCTGCTGGCTGCGCTGCCCAAGGCTGGCTCCCTCGCTGCTTGACATGCTGATGGGTGGGTGGGTGAGTGTGGAGGGTGGGGGTGTGGGGGTGATCGGCGCGAGGCCGGCGCGATGGCTCTCTGTGAGCGGACGGGTGGGCTACTGTTGGCTATAATGTAAAAGTACTGCCGGCAGTGGGGCCTCACTGTCAACATCGACAAGACCAAGCTCATGCTGCTCAGTGGGCGGCGGACCCAGCACGCGGCGCAGCAGACAGCAGAGGCAGGCCTCACCTTCGCCGGCCAGCAGCTGGCGGCAGTCACCAGCTTCAAGTATCTCGGCATCGCCTTTCACTCCAGCACCTGCCTGGCAGGGGCAGCAGCGCCAGCCCGGGCACAGCCGGCGCGCCTGGCTATGCACAACTGCCGGACCCGCTGCGCAGAGGTGGGCATCGAGGCGGCGCCCGTCCAGCTGCGGCTTTTCGGCACCATGGTGGACTCGGTGCTGTCCCATGGTGCTGAGGTGTGGGGCGTGCAGCTGGCGGCCAAAGCGGCGTGCTGCCATCGTGGCAGTGCCGGCAGCGCGGCCGAGAAGCTGCAACTCAGCTACCTACGCCACCTGCTGGGGGTCCGGCAGAGCACCCCCAATGCGGCCCTCCTTGCGGAGACTGGCGAGCGCCCGCTGTGGCAGCGCTGGCTGCGGCGGGCAGCCAAACTCTGGAACAAGACGCTGGAGGAGCGTCCCGGCAGCCTGTTGCAGCAAGCGTTGTTGTCCAGCGTGCAGCTCGCAGATGGCGCCCACCCCCTGGCACAGCAGTCCTGGGCTGCCCAGCTGGCGGCCGGTCTCGCAGCGGTCGGCATGCAGCTGGACCTGCAGCAGCCAGCACCTGTTGACCTC